AGATAGATAGATAGATAGATAGATAGATAGATAGATAGATAGATAGAAAGAGTACTAAATTATTTCTGGTCCCCCAATTTCCAAAAGGTGTCTGTGTAACATCTGTTTTTGGATTAGTCACACTCCCATTTGGCCATCCAGCTCTCCCCTCAGATTATCTGGGATTCATTGACTGCACATGGCATTGTTATGCAATCGCACATTCAAATTTCAAAGTTTTTTTTTATTTATTTTTCCTGGAGATTAGACTGATGGCCCTCTGCATCCCTGCCTTCCCCTACCCCGGCATCCAAAGGATATGTGACTTTTAGCTGTGGCACATTTTTATTAAGCAGCCATTCTGGTCGGATATAGGGGGACACTGAAATAAGAGATGGGATTAAATACAGAGGAAATGGTTACCAGAGGATTTGGAGCAGTTTTTGGGTGACGAGTTGATTTTTGCCATGGGAATAGAAATATATGCGGGAAGCACATCAGAGAACATCTGAGATTTATTGAAATTTTAAAAGTTCAGGACCAGGCAAGTGTTTGATTCTTGCTGAAGGGACTGTGATGCAGCACTCAAAGCTACTTTCATTTCAGTGTTTTATTGGAGTCCCTGATCATGTGCACAGGCACGTAATTAAAAAAAGCAGCATATTCTTCCCATTTCATGCTTGCTTTACTCCCAAACAAATGTAAAAGATAAGTCACACACACAAACACATTAATTTTATTAGCGGCTACCTCATAAGGAGAAGGGAGCATACAGACGACGTGCAGCTCCTGTTGTATCTAAGCAACAACCGACAGGGATCGTCCTTGATGATGATGTTTCATTATGTGTCTGAGAGTGAGAACGAGAATGTAACTTGTACGCACAGACTTGGTCAGAGTACAAAAAATGAGACGCATGTGTGTGTCTGTTTGTGTGCGTTTGCCTCATTAGTGTGTTCACTGGCTAACACAACTTTCTCTGGCGTTGTTTAGTGTCTGGGTTACTATGGAGGAGACTGATGCCAGTAAACACTGAACTTTAGGCTGGAACGGGGGGTGCTGAGGTGGTCTTTCAGTTCATTGTCGTGCATTACGTGTGTATTTTTTGTGTATCAACATCAACTTGTGAGTGGGCCAGGGGGTGAGCGAGAGAGGGGGGATGAGATGCAGGGGATGGGCAGGGTGACCAATGCTGGAAATGTGCCCTGGACAAGAAGTGAACAGTGAGGTTAGAACAACATGGTAAAAGATTAAAGAGATACTAAGAGACCTTCACTGCCCTCTGCTGCACGCAACTGGAAAAGCTTTAAGGAGAATAAGGTTTTCGATGAAGACGTCTCGGCACTTCATGCCAGTGCCAAAAAATCAGTAGACTTTTTCAAATAAGTTTTCCTCTGAAAGCGATCATCAATTCTTTCTGTGTAAAGCATAGCATTAAAACCAGTCTCAATTTGTAATGAATTATAAGGTGGACTGTAATGAGCTGTGATCCCTCTGACAGCATTACCCGCTAACTTTCCTTGCTTCCTTCTTTCTGTCTCTGTCTCATTCTTTTCTTTAATTCACTGTTGATTTTCTGTGCACTATTTGCCGTGTGTCACTGCTTATAGTTGATGACTTCTGTTCATTCAACTTCTGCGCACAACTGGAAAAAGCAGTCCACAAAGAACTCTACTCACCTTCTCTTTCAAACACATTGCCATTACTTGTATTATTTAGTCCTTCATCCTCATTTGAAACATACTTTTAGATGTAGGGTTTTCTCTTTTTTCGTCTTTTTTTTATTTACGTGTGCATGGACCCTACCACCCACCAGTGTTATAGCTCTCATGGTGTTGTTTCACACTTCAGATAAGTGTATTTTGATGGCATGTTTTGCCTCACAGACTATTTTTCCGTAGCATATGTGGTGCCTGACTTGATTTAATCTTTTCATCTACAGCTTTATATAGTGTAGACATTCATTTAAATTGAGCTGGTACATCCAGATAGTCATACAGAATATAGTATTCAGCAATGGCTTTGATCAATTTTGGGTTTTCTAATAACACTAATGGGGGAAAATATGAAAATATTCCAACTTAAATTTACTACAGCTTTTATTTTTTTACAGATTTTTCTGACACCAATATGTGGGTCAAAGTAAAGCATTCGAGGTATCCAGACCAACATGTGAGCATACGGACAGCATTATGCTCTCGGGCTGTTTTCCTGGCAATTACGCTGGCTGTAAAGCAGATTGAAAATAAGAGTACTAATCCTTGAGTCTTTTTTCCCTTACATTAATTTATTTACCTAAAGACTAGCATTCTTCTCCATCCATCCATTTTCTGAAGGTTTAATGAAATAGGGTCGTGGGAGGGTTACGGAATGTCCAGGTTGTTGAAATATCTCTAGCTCTAAAAGAGACTAGGTCAAGGAAACCATTGAGCTATATAGATGACATTGATATCCAAGAAAAGTTTTGTATGAAAACTTTTTACTGAAACTCTGTAGTACAGAATACTAATTACTAACATGAAGTTAAGATTATTCCTTTTTACTGTCCTGCCAAAGCGAGTTTAAATGAGTCATCCTACTCCTCCATCCCTGACAGCATCCATTCATCAGGGTGCCTTTTAACCTGCGAGTCAGTGTAAAGTCATGGTCCCACACTAAAACACTTACTGTCATGTGTCTTCTAGTGGGTGAAGCCAGGAACCTCATTCCTATGGATCCAAATGGTTCATCAGACCCATATGTTAAACTCAAGCTCATCCCAGACCCAAAGAATGAGACCAAACAGAAGACCAGAACCATTCGCTCCTGTCTAAACCCATGCTGGAATGAGTCATTCACCTTGTGAGTGTAAAACTGTATGAGAATATATTTACTTATGTCCAGAATTCTCAGTAGTGTTCCCTACTTATGTAGTTTATTGAGCTTGATGTAAAAGACATGTGTCAACATGTTTTCTATCAATGTGTATGTGTATGCAGCAAGCTGAAAGCATCAGATAAGGACCGGCGTCTGTCCATTGAGGTGTGGGATTGGGACAGAACCACCCGGAATGACTTCATGGGCTCCATGTCATTCGGCGTGTCCGAGCTTATCAAAGCTCCAAACTGTGGATGGTCAGTTATCTCAGTGTCTTCATTCACTGTCATTATACAATGCTGAACATGTTACACTTTGACTTATTACTGGACTAAATGCATATTTAGAGTACTTCAGCAAAAAGGTTCAGAGTGCATCTGCTGATTGCTCAGTAATATCGGGGAAAACGTCCATTAACCAACCTCTGTCCCCTCATCAAACCATAGTAGGAAATGGTTTGCCGCCAGCAGGTGAACGCAGTGACAGCTTTGATGGCAAATAACTCTCTGAAAAATGTTGTGGCTCATATTTTTGCTTCAGTGTGGATTCATAACCAGCTTGACTTCAAACAGCAGCACGTTGAGCATAAAACAGACATAAACACTGCCAGCTTGATTCACCTTGACAAATATCATTTGCTGGCGTCATTTCCTCACCTCGCTACCACTGTTTGGCTGTTTAGTCTCAGTCTGATAAACACACACATACATACACACTGAAGTCAGTCTTTGTTAGCATACCTGCTGGGACTTCACCTAAAGCAGTCCTGATCGAATGCCTTTGTGAGCTGAGACTGGGAAATGACTGTGTGTGAAAATATTGGCATCCGTCTCGGAAACAACTACCTTGTGTGTTTGTTCGTGCGGCTGCATTTTGTACTGTAGACAAGCATCCAGAGGATGTTTGGAGAAATAGAGTCAAGCTGGCACGACTGACAGGTAACAGACCTGCAGGCACTTATAGAATAAAAACCCAGTCGCTCTAATTGATATGTGTTGACATACAAAGATCACTGTGTGGAAAGACAGAGGGCAATACACGGGAGACTTATTAATTAGAAGGAAGTTAGCGAATGAAAGTCAGTTTTTCCTCATTTTCTTCCACTGCAGGTACAAGTTGCTGAACCAGGAGGAGGGAGAGTATTACAATGTTCCTATTCCAGAGGTGGATGATGTCAACCTGGAGCTCCGTCAGAAGTTTGAGGTGAGAAGCAGGCATCTAGTATATATTTTTTTCTTTTTCATGTATGCACACATGTCTTTTGTTCAGACTGGAACACTTTGACAAAACGTGGATCTCTATTGTCACCATGGTAACATACTGTTCTTGCTTGAGGTTTTCACCCTGTGTTTCAGAGAGGGAGATCAAGATGAATGCTCTTGTTTTTAAATGACAGTTTTGCTGTGTGTACGTCACGTGCTAAGAGGCAGAAATGCCGATTCAACATAAAACACAGATGAGAAAGGAGGAATGTTCTGAGAGAAGCAGCAGGAAGTAGTTATCGATCAAAGCTGGGGTCTTTCTGTTTACTTTATTGATGCCAACCTGTCTGCATTCAAAGTTGTAACTACAAGGTCTGTTTCAGCTGTCCTGGCTTGGAGTGTGACCTCTCTAGCAGGACTGCTTCACACATAGCTGTGTAAAGAGTGATGACATGTTGCGAATGTCACAAAGACAGAACTATCCAAATAGATATTCAGCTTTAACTGTATTTCTGTGGTATTACCACGATAACAGTATACAGCAGGCCTTAAAGCCATACGGTGCATTATGTAAATTAAGTTTGACAGAAGACAAACAAACAAACAATGTTATGAATTTCTTTCAGGGGAATCTCTGGTTTTCTTTTCAGTTCAAACTTTATGAACTTGCCTTTTGTGTGTCTGCAGGTTTTGTTCAGTTTACCGATCTGGCCATTTATATAAACCATCCTGCAGTCTTAGGGACTTTTACTGCCTCCGTGGCAATAGAGAAAAACTCACAGCAAAAAAAAAAAAGAGACCAATCTGAAAGAACAAAGGCACGATGGGACTTGCTGGTTTGAGAGCTATTGTCCTCTGTGATAACCTTTGGCTGCTTTTTTCCTATGTTTCGCAAATGAAAAAATATTGCATGCAGAAACTCTGGCAAGGTTCCATCCAATGCCCAAAGGAACGTTTTTTGAAACTATCATTTGCTCTCTAGAGGTTACCTTGTTTAATGCAAGTAAAAGTACAACCACTTCTTCTTTGTATTAAACACTCACAAATACAGGAGACTGTATTTTTTTGACAGTGCAGTGGACACTAAAGCAAATCTATGTGAGATCTCAATTAGGACCCAGAAGATGGAAAAGTGTGATTGCAGTTTTATGAAACTCCACCTCTGAGTCTGTTATACAGGTAGTTTAATATAAGAAGTCTTTGTCACCCAACAGTCCTCAAGGCACTGAACCTTGTTTTTTTTCATTTTCTTCTCCTCTCCATACTATACCACACTAACCTTGGCTTTCCTTAGAGAAGCTGATATTCTCACACAACTGTGGGGTTGCCGTGGAAACTAGGAAAGGATGCAATAACTGTGAATGCCTTCCAGTCATACCGTTAATCTATGTGGAGTTAATAGATAAATTCTTCTAAGTGATTACAGTAATAACCTGTCATGTCTCTGGCCTCATGTGTCAGCAAAACACACGTTCAAAAATCATCTAATAACTGACCAAACTAATGAGTGAGTTTCTTCTTCTCTCTAGGCCTGCCAGTTAAATATCCACTATCTCAAGGTAGCTCTCCTGCCTGCGCCGTCTGTTTCTCTCATGTCCAGTTTGCTTCACACTTAATTCACTTACTGTTTTGGGATTCTTTGTGGATCTCAGCTGGGATTCTGCAAATGAATCTGATTTACTAACAAAGGCTTTCTGCAGCATACAGTTGAACCATTCCAATTAGCTTTTTTGTGTTGCCCCTCTCTTACTCCTCTCACACAGTGGAACACAAACCTTTTTCCTTATCGCTGCCTCATAATCACACACAGCCATGAATTGAAAAGTCATTTTGATTTGATTTAACACTTTGTATCCATCGCAGCTGCTGCACTGTATTATAATATTTGCAGCAGCACTTGGGTACCTTAAAAGGATCAGTTTACAGTGTTCAAATCTGTGTTAAAACGGATGTAGAAATGTAGTTCTATTAATCGAAAACTGAATATCATCTGAAGCATTTACCTTGTCCAGATTTGTCTGAGTCAGACGGCAGCACCACGTTTGCTTTTAGTAGATATTTTCAAGCTCTTTTGACATATGGAGAACAATATATTTTGGGAGTGTTTTCAGCTCTTTTACAGCTCCCAGGAGCTTACAGTATGAGTGTTGGGAGACTAATTTGAGACTAATTTGAATTGAAAAATTCTCTAAGGCAAAGATGGAAAAATAACTCATGTTCCTCCAACATAAATGGAGCAAACAGCTACGGCAGAAACATCAAATTGAAAAAAATAGGATGGTAACCATCGTAATTTTCGCTTCCTTTTTTTCACAGCACCTTGTGACATATTGACCTCTTCTTTTATACACACACACCAGACAGCATTGTTGTTAGTAAATTTGGGGTGCTCAGGCCACTGGTTGGTGTCATCCGTTTTACTTCTATTAGTGAACAGCCATTGGCCAAGAAAGCTCCTTACCTGCTTCTCTGTGGGCGCCCACAATCTGCCCTCTACTAGTCTAGTCTGGTCTGGACTATAGAAGGCTGTGAGGCCACTAAGCATGGACAAATTCCCACTCATAGTACCTGTTGGAATGGATAAATTCACAGTTTCTTACTGTGTCTGCTGTTTGTTTTGCCAGATCTTTCCACACAGTGGCAGTGTTACATCTATATAACTGTAACTGGATCCAACTTTGTGTGCCTTTGTTTGATTGCGGTGAAACGAGCAGATGTTGGTTTTGTGAACAGCTGATGTGAAGTTGTCCAATTTTTGTACATAAATGTATGGTTATGCAACTCATCTATGTCATTGATGTGAAAGATTATTTAAACTTTATCCGAGCATGACCAGTAAAGACCTCTCCAGATTAATGATGATAAATGAACAAGCTAGAGCACACTGGTATGAACAACAACAGATCCATGGGTGCAGTGTTTATTATGGAAATGCACAAACTTATCTTTACTGAACTTGGAAAAATGTTTAAGAGAAAACAATTAAATGTTTCCAACTTTTTTTTGTTTCGTTTTTACTGCAATTTTTCTTCAATAAGAGCTCAACATGAGAATCGAGTGAGACAACAAAATACACAGTAAAAGACACAATTAAGCAGCTTGCCGACTTCTTTGAATAAAATTGCACACTAGTTTTTTTACTCATAGTTTTTTTTCAAATTTGCATGAATGTTCATTAACTATGCATCTGTTTCTTCTTCTGTTCAGTTGAATGATCATTGTGTAAACTCTCTGAAACAGACCCAGCATGGCCATACGTCAGAATGTGGAGCACTCGGCCGCAGAACTCGGCTGATAGTTCCAGTTAACGTGTGTATCACTTTGTCTCTTAACTGGCCCAACCAAGTGTAGACGTAGGGCCACATAACCTGAATGAAGAAATAAAAATACAATAATTGTTATTTAAAGAGCATTTTCACATTGAGTCAAGAGCGGGGAGGTGGTTGTCATGGCAACAGCTGTCACTGCCCTGCCTGCCACCATTTGCCCGGTCTTTATGTTCCATCTGGGAGAGCCGTGATGAGAGCTGGCGATGCCTTAATTGGTCTTTTTGTTCAAAGATGTTCGGCAGGCTGAAGACTATAGGGAACAATAGGGAACCTTAAAACTCTGTCCACACCCCCTGTAGGCTCACTTTAAACTTTTCCAAAACGCACTAGTAATGTCATAGTGTTTAATGTCTCAGTTGTTATTGCATTTAACAGGTTTATCGAATTCTGTCTATAGTATCTTAACAGGTATTGAAAGTATAGAAATATTAAAAATAATTAAAATCTGTCAATTTAACTGTCAAATCTGTTTCATATTAAATATATATTTTTTAAAAACATAGCACATTCCTCCACAGATGACATATTCTGTGTAAATTATTTATTTTTCTGGTTTTGTATATTCTAAGCCCTATTTTTGCATTAGTTTTTGAATATTTACTAACAGTTCCTAAAGCATTTGTTTCAGTTTAATTTAGCCTTGATAAAAGCTCTATGATATCCCCAAATCCAGCCATTGAATATCTCATACGCATGTTTCCTACATCCATCACTGCCATGTTTTAACAATAAAGAACATTTATTGGGTTTTCTGTATATGAAAGCTAAATATAGCACGCTCACATCAAATGGTGCATCCAGTTGACTTAATAGAATTTAACAACATTTTGTGTGTGTGTGTCTGCATTGTACATGGCAGAAAGCCAAGCTGGGCCACGGTAAGAAAGTGATCACACCATCAGACCACCGGCGGTTCAGTCTGCCCTCGGGTAACATGGACCGGGTCCGACTCAGTGACTTCAACTTCCTGGCCCTGCTTGGGAAGGGCAGCTTTGGCAAGGTGAGAGCCAAGGCCACATCGCAAACTCTCTGGAAGACCTCAAACCTCACACCATGCAAGGTGGTTAGAATTGTTTGTTTTTTTGGTCTGCAGGTGATGCTGGCAGAGATGAAGTCAACAGAGGCGCTGTATGCCATAAAAATCCTGAAAAAAGATGTTGTGATCCAGGACGATGATGTTGAATGTACAATGGTGGAGAAGAGGGTTTTGGCCCTGCGGGACAAACCGCCCTTCCTCACACACCTCCACTCCTGCTTCCAGACTGTGGTGTGTATGAACCTCAGCCCCAGCTGTGGTCATGCTTTTTAAAATATCCTGCGCTGAAAGCCCATACAGACACACAAAAATAGTTTGGTTTAAGTAAGGCCCTTGCTCTCCCATAACAATCTTTTCAGCCTGCTGCTCAGTGTGTCTGTTGTTATATTTGGATTTGATCTTACATTTTTGCACTCTTTCAACGGCGCCCCTGTAAAGAAAATTGAAGTGCTTTGAGACCATTCTTGAATACAGAGTCTCGATCATGATGTTGCCACAGTGCACTGAAAGAGAGTGACTCAGGAAATCTTAAATAAAAACCACCTCAATGGATGTTCTTTTTGCACCCCAAGCATGGGTCTAACCTGTTAGAAAAGCTAATGCATGAAATTTATGTCCACATTATATAACTTTCTAAAGCTCCTTCAGTGTGTTCTTTTTCCTGCTGCCTGCACACATTATGCATCTATTAGGAACTACTCCCTGAACAATAACATACCTCTTTTTTTTAGGATCGACTTTACTTTGTTATGGAATACATTAATGGAGGAGACCTCATGTATCACATCCAGCGTATGGGCAAGTTTAAGGAGCCACAGGCAGTGTAAGGATTCACTCTCATTCATGCACAGTCAACAATGTAAAAACATCCCATAAGAGCAGAACAATTTTAATTCAGAGCTATGTCTTCACAGTTTTAGATCCCGATATTTGATTTGCCAACATTTTTTTTGCTCATTTTGGTCAGATAGCAGCAGTCCATTTCCTTACAAACAAATAAAAATTATTCCTTTTTTCATTAAATCCCAGTGGTAGAACAGATTTGATTTAATTCATATTGATTGTGGAAATTTAAACAACTGTTTACTATTGTTTTTCGGAAGGTTTCTAATCGTTCAATCCTATTTATGTATTGAGCGCAATGACAGAGAGATGACAGGATGGCTCTCAACCTGTGCTCCATCTCTTATTGTGAGATTTAGTGTTATATATATTTCTCTCTTTTTTTCAGATTTTATGCAGCAGAAATAGCTGTAGGCTTGTTCTTCTTACACCGAAAGGGAATCATCTATCGGTGAGTGGAATAGTGTTGCATGATACTGTGTTTTTAAGCAATTGCCGGCCTGTAGCACAATTTCAATTTCTATTCAAGCACAGACATATATCCTGGTAATTTTGCACACACTACCAGGATATATCAGGTTATAAAAGTAAGACAGACAGAAAGAGGGAATTACAAAGCAAAGGAAAATGTTGATTAAAATAATCATTTGAAGGTTTGACCTTTCTGGTGTGTGCTTAAAGTGAGTTTTAAAACCGTTCAGACAAATGTGGCTATTAAATTAATGTTAATCACCCAGACCGTAAAAATAAATATAGAACAGAATGATGTTCTTGACAGCGACTAAGGTCACCCTGTTTCTTTTTACGACTTTAGCCAACAGCTCACATCCATTCTTCACGTCCAAACGGCCTTGTGTTTGGCATCCTAATTGTAGTAGTTGAATTCTAATAGCCAAAGTACATAAGGCTGATTGAAAAAGAATGTGGGGCCCAGTAAATGTCATGATCTATACACAGAGTTCTCAGAGATTTGGCAGGGTCTCCAGCTTTACTGTGTGATTTTGTCCTCATAGTGTGGACAAAATCGCACACATAGATTCAAAGCAGTCCGGCTTTGTTCAACACAAATGCTCACAAAGCTATCTGCCCCAGGGATCTGAAGCTTGACAACGTGATGCTGGACTCAGAGGGACACATCAAGATAGCTGACTTTGGCATGTGCAAGGAGAGCATGTACGAAGGGATGACCACGCGCACCTTCTGTGGCACCCCAGACTACATTGCACCTGAGGTGAGACGTCTGGGATGTGGGAACAGAAATTCTACTTTAGAAACAAACTAAAATAAGAAAAAAATGGCAAAACTACATCTTATTTTCAGACACTTGTACTTTTCAGTGATCTTTTAGCATAGGTTAAATATAGAAACAGCTTTTTTTTATAAATCTAGTCAAAGCTCGGCAAAGCTTTTCCACAAAAACACGGGTACATTTTCTTAGTGAATGCAATGCACTTATGTAATGTCAAAAACACAGTAAGGACATTTTCTTCGCATATTTTGCAGGTACTTATAGCGCTTTTAAGAAAGCTGTGCAAAAAATCACCCTGTGATTGTCACAGTTGTGTGTGCAAGCACAGCTGTGATTTAGCTCTTTCCTTTCGCATCTGTGTAGTCATTATTGTGTTTGTGTGTAGACTTTGTGTGGGAGGGAGGTGTGGGATGGCAAATTGCATGGTAAGAGAAAGCGCCTTTGTTTAATGAGCTCAAAATAGCTAACTGTATTCAATGGGGGTTGATTTGGTTAAAGTGAAGTAATGGTTCTGTTTTTTCTCGGATATCTTCACTTTAGCCATCTTACACTTTGTGTAACCCTCCCGCATTCATATTTTCTTGTTTGCAGTTAGACAATATATATATTCTTTTAAACCAAAACTTTTTCTTAACCAATAAATAATAATGTATTTTCTTTTAATGAAGAAAGTAGCTGTATTTGCAATGCCTCTTTTTGTAACTATTTCTCCTGTTTATCTGTCAGATTATAGCATACCAGCCCTATGGAAAATCAGTGGACTGGTGGGCTTACGGAGTTCTCCTGTATGAGATGTTGGCTGGGCAGGTAATGTGTTGTTTCTTTGCAAAGTCTCTAGTTCAAAGATGTATCTATTAAAAGAATAAACTATTCTAAGATTTGTTTCATCAAGTAACATACATTTGTTGTAAGTTTTTTTTAAATGTTCTGCAGTAAAAATGCCCAAGAGAAGGACACATCTTGTTATATATAGTTGCTTAACACAACTTTGGAGTATAAAAAGAAGTAATTTATTTGGCAGGCCAATGAATATTTACTTTTGTTCCAAAATATTTTAAATAAGAGAAATTTGTATTGTTATTCCATGAGTTAATGTTACAAATACAAAGTTAAGATATTAAATCTCACATCACAGATCCTGTGTGAACAGAAACATGATATCTATTGTTAGTCATTAATGTCCTAAAAAAGAACACAGGTAAAAAGAAAACATGTTATTGTGAACAACCTTTTAAAAGGAAGACAAAGTTAGTATCTCCCCCAAAGAGCAGTTTATTGAATGATTAGTTTTATTTCAACCCACACAACCCTCTGTGCTACTGGAGCTTTCCAACTGATCTGCTACAGCTTTCACCTACTGATGTTGTCTTTTTTCACCTCACAAGCAGCAAATGACCATCACAGATGTGACATATTCTGCTTTTGTGCTCCTCAGCCACCGTTTGATGGAGAAGACGAGGACGAGCTCTTCCAGTCCATTATGGAGCACAATGTGTCCTACCCAAAGTCCATGTCCAAAGAAGCTGTGTCCATCTGCAAGGGAGTAAGTCATATATAGAAAATATGAGAATTTCCCATGTCAAGTGGGACATCTGGGGGTATAAATAGAGGAGAGAAAATAACTTAGCTGTTGTTAAAGCCATTTGACTCAATGTGTCACACTTCGTTACTTTGGAGAAGTGATGACAGGTTGTGACTGCAGACCTGCTCCTGTTTAATCGCTCTCTGTCTCTGTAAAACGCTGTCATCATACTGTCTGTTGCTGGTGTTCATTGCACTGTTTGAACTGGAATTACACACCGAGGAGAGGGCAGCAGGGATTTAGCGGCTTCTTGCTGCGTGGCGGCTGGTTTTGTACTTTGACAGAAACTAGAAACCACTGGCTGACGAGGAGTTATGCAACCATCGGGAGATATCACTATCTGTGCAATTTTCTGGTCACTGGTTAACAATATTCTGCTGAAAACAAACATGCGCTCATTCTATCTTGTCTCCATATTTTATTTAATTATACATGAGCGGGGTAATGTTGAAACTGCCAAAGGCCTCCCTCAGGAGCTGCCGAGTTGCTTTTCAAAGATTTTTTTAAAATGTGGGTGGCAGACTTAAAATGTTACTTGTGCAGGACAGTATAGCACAGAATCTGGCTCCACAGAAGGGAATATTGTTTTCCCAGTCTATTTCACCACAGCACATGCAAATTATGTGGAATCATAATTTTTTCTACAGAACTTTTTTTTTTAAAGGTTCTTTATTTACCTACCACATTTTCATCTGATGTCTCAGGATTGCTTTTGTGACATCTTCACAGCTCAGAAGCATTGTGGTTTTTATTATTTTGATTATTTACCAAGAAGGAAATAAGCTTTCAGAGTCAATTTAGAAACCAGAGAGGATCATATTAAGATTCAGGCGGAGACGGATGGAGTCTTTCAATAATCTTTCCCACCTTCATTTGTTGTAATATTACATTCTGTGGCTGCTTTGGCCATGTGAGATATATCTCATTTCAGGGGACCTGACAAAAGAGATTACACTCATGTTATTATTTGCTTCACATTTCATTTGCAAAAAGTGATTCATGGCTGAAATCAAAAGTGTCTGCTGAACCTAGAATAGAGCTGTAAAAATGTAGCACTGCTGATATCAAACTTTACCCAAAAATGCTGAGAACGAGATATCAATGCAAACGAGAATCCCAATTATTATTGTTAGCGCTACACCACTTTATTCTCTCTCTCCATTCCTCCTCAGTTGAACTTTTTTTACCTTTCTTTATTTTTTCTTCAAGTACCGAATTGCCTGTGTCAAATGATCTTTTTTTTTCTGTTTGTCATCAGCTGATGACTAAGCACCCATCAAAGCGTCTTGGCTGTGGCCCAGAGGGGGAGCGGGACATCAGAGAGCAGGCCTTCTTCAGACGTATCGACTGGGACCGCCTGGGCAACAGGGAGATCCAGCCGCCGTTCAAACCCAAAGTGGTGAGTAAAGTGTGCTGACTACATGTGAACTGTCGGCCGTCTATGGTCGGTTTTCTTTCTGATGTAAAAGTCAGTCTCTTCTTCTGATACGGATACTATTCTATTCTTCACTGCCATTGTCTGCTAAACAAGCCCTACTGGTATTTAACATTTGAGAGCGCCAGGCAGCTTCTCAGATGTTGGTTGGTTGAACAAGTAGTTTAAACACTTGTTTAAATAAATACTATAAATACTAAATGACCAAGATTAGGTATTTACTTTTTCATGTACCAAAGTGTTGAAATGAACACTATATTTCCTGTTTGCACAAAGGGATGCTGTTGTTTCTTCCCTACATGTTCCTGTTCGGGTTTAACCTTCGTCAGAATATGGTGTGTCATCCTGTATTGCTGCTGAATTATTCAGACAATTCCCCAAACAGTTCTCATAATTATATGCACAAGTGGAAGAATGCATCATGTGTGTGTTCTTTTTAATCTTGGGCTGTTTTAATGGTTGCACTCGGCAGCGCTAAAAGGGTGAATGATACTGCCAACACCTGCTCTCCATCCCATGGCATACATCTAAACAATATCCTGTCACCACAAACGCTCCTTTCCTCTGTGATGACCTCCGTAGCCTTGCTCTTCTCTCTGCCCGGAGCGCCTGAAGTGACACAAGCGCCACAACTGAGGGGTTAAAAATAGCTTTGTACAAACAGAGTTCCCTTTGCGTCTGCAGATGGGCCACAGTAAATGCAGGGTTACACAGCAGATGTATCCATCTCCACTCACACGCAGAGGAGGAAAATGTCGCTGAAGGAAAATGCATCCATTCTGCGTGGTGTATTACAATTTTGAGCTGATACACTGCATCATAAAATGCTCAGCATAGATGAGGAAATAAAGCTAAATCTGAGTCTTTATGGCTCAGCCTCGGTAATACTATGGAGAGGCTGAATATGTCTGGCATGCTGACGCGTCTCCTGAGAAAATGAATCATGAAGAGCAGGTGCTGAAATCCACTCTGAATTTCAAATATGGTTTTGTTGTGTAGCGGTGAGCGAATTGGACTCATAACCTCCGAAGTACTGGGAGTGTGATTCCATGCACAACTGAATATATATGTGGCAGTCGAGCGCCTCACACAGCTTCCAATGACCTCCACGGCTGGTGCTTAGGGTTTGCCTCTAATCTAATGACAGCTGCTGCCTCAATACACAGCGACAGTTTCCTTGACCACTTTCCCCGTGGGTCTATTGTGAGGCTTTCTAATAAAAGACTCAAGTGGAAAAGCCTTTCATCATTGGCCGACAACTCTTCCTCGCCTCTCACTATCCAGTGATCAAAATAACTCCCTTCATCTAACGTCCGTTTCATCTCTTCCTCAGTGTGGCAAAGGAGCGGAGAACTTTGACAAGTTTTTCACCCGCACCCAGCCCGTTCTGACCCCTCCGGACCAGCTGGTCATTGCCAACATCGACCAGAGCGAGTTTGCCGGCTTCTCCTTCATCAACCCTCAGTTCATCCATCCATCCCTCCACAGCGTGGTATGAGTAGGTGGCCAAGGGTGGAAATATAAAAGCATGACTCTTATTGAATACAAGATCCTTCCAATTCAAACCTCCAACTGTCAAAAGACTCATATCATCCTCTAGTATTGTGTCTATTAGTTATCATTACCTGTGCACAGAAACGACAGAGGTCAGAGGAGTAAAATGTAAAGAATGTTGCATTAAGTACAATCGTGGAGAAAGTTAAAGGTATATGGCACTGATACTTTAGCATCTCATACTTCTTTTTGCTATATCTGTACATTCAAACTTACAGCTGTAGCTTTCACCAAACCTACAGCCTTTTTTCCTGTGAAAGGACGTGTCTCATTATCAGTTACTATCTCTTTTGATGTAAAAGATATGTTTTTCTTCACCTCACATCTATGTACCCCATCTTACAACGCAACAAGGTGCAATGCATGACGAGAACGGAACATTATTTTCTGCTCCGTCCTGACTTTACACATGTATATTATATTTCTACTAACAAAGAGGTAGTAAACTGTTACATGAGTGCCAAAGTCTAGGTGGAAGAATAGATTTCTATTGCTGTTCCTAAGGTCCTAAAGTATTGATGTTTTTTTTTTCTCCTCTGGTTTTTCCCACGAGTGTCAAGACACTAAAAGCCCACAAACAGGGGCTCTTTATATCTGTTGTTTTGTAGGACGTGAACTACAGTGTATCGAACTCAGCATGGAGAAGCTGAATCAAACTGTGTCATGTTGCAAGCTATCCAGGCCTTCTCAGTACAGCAGACGTCTCCTACAGCGGGTGAAGTTAGAGTGTAGGGCCAGAGAACTGTGGAAGATCGAGACAGTGTTCTTATGTATTAAGATGCTATTTCCATATGCACAAAGCAGATCTCTGTTGCATGCTTATTTTCTGACTCTGTATGAACTGTAGAGTCTAGGATGCAGTACACGTGTAGTATCATTGTAAAGTTTAGTATTACGATATAAACTATGTTGATATATAATTGTTGTACGTTTACCTTGAAAAAGAGTTTGTAATTGGGAAAAAAAGGTTTTTTGTTCCTGTTTTATGTTCTTGTTTAACCCAACTTTTATGTCCAGAGATGACCAACCCACTATTGTAAGTCAACCTGTTTTCTTTTTGTAAATATGTTTCAAAAAGAGAAGTTATTGCAGATTTTATACTACACACTGAATGTGCTTTTACTACCGTAGACAGTTTAAACATTTCTATGTTGAGAGTAGCCCTAAAAAGATGCTTTAATATATATATACATGCATATACACATTATATATATACATATATATAAATATATATATATGAATATATGTATATGTATTTATATATATTTACACGTATGAAGTTTGGCTGAATCTTTGGTAGCTTTGTTATCAGCAAACCCTGTTATATGTAGATCAACTATTTATCCATTGTTTTATACCACTCAGTGTCATATAGAGAATATGCAGCACTTACTGTGCGTGAAACGGTCGAATGCCCTCTTGCCTTGGTCGTCTCAGGGCTAACTCCTCCTGTAACAAACTGGATTCGAAACCATCTTAGTGGTTTAAGGATTCCTTTTTGGCCGAAACGTGTCCTTTCTTATATATTGTGTGCATGCGTGAGGCGAGGCTAGATCTTAGCATGAGAAAGATCCCCTGCATGATATGCAGATATTCTCATTGTGTCGCGCAGAGTGAGACAACCAACCAGCATTGTGCGCTTTCCTGCTCATGTGTGTGCCCACTTGGTGTCATGTAGCCTGATCTGTTTGACTAAAAGATCAATTATAAACAGACGAGTGTGCGTAAAATGCTTATGATGGCTTTTTGTTCACTGGTGCCAAACGTTTATTTCAAGTGTTTCCAGTGTATTTATTTATTCTTTTTATGTTCAGCTTCTAAGGGTCATCAAGTTACAATAATGTGGCATCAATTTAAGAAAAAAAAAGAAAGAGAGACAAAATTAGGACGACTACCACAATTTTTAACTTAAAACTATATATTAACATGATGTATAATTATTTCCAGCTGTCCTATATTTCTTGGATTAGATGAAATACCCAAGGTTAAACAGAATGTTTAAATGTCTCACATTGAGAATTCATATGAAAGGAGAGAACAGAAAAATAAAACAAAAACTGTTAAATCTGTTATCGATATAATCAAATGCTACTTTAATCAGGGTATATAACCACTACAGGCTACAGTTTGAGCCTCATGATTATTTGTAAGTGTTTCCTTCACTGCCCCTGTTTAGATAACCTTTTTTGTCCCTGTGTTCATTGTAGTATGACGGATATTGTATATAAATAAAGTATGAAATATACAATGCAAAATGTTGTGTTTCTCATTTTTACTGTGGGAACCTTTTACTTCATCAGAAATGCTGACATGCAAATCATCTCACAGTCTCACAGCGCCTCACACGTCCAACATGTCGGGGCAGAGCCTATGCCTTATATGATATCAGTGCGATTACTGCATCCAAAAATAACAATTACTTGCAACAGTTCATTTATTGCGATTAAACTTATTCATCTTTATCCAGGGTAGGTTATTTTTCAAATGGGCTTGCAGATCAGACTCTTTGCTGCTTTTTAAACCTGCCCTCATGGGTATTGTGCTGCCCAATGCAGCCTTCCTTGAGATGTGTGTTATTGTAAGGAACTGCTGTTGGTGTGTGTGTGGGGGGGGTTGCAACTGGTCAATCAATGTAGATCTACCAGGCAGCATCTTTTTCAGACAGCTGGTCACATGTATGCTTTATAGCAAACTTATTCAGAAACCTAAGAGTTTGTATTGTAATATAATACATCTATGATATATTGTAGAATATATTTTCAGTTCTTGGGGGAGACATATACGTCTCATACTTGTTTTCAATGCATGTATTTTTTCAGCCAGAAAAGGGTACCCAGTGGTGTAAAGACAATGTAAAATGGAATGGAAGTTTTTCTCAAATTTGTGTGGTTTTGAGTGGAATTATTGCTTTGGTATCTTCATTTTTTTAATCACTGGGGGAAATCAGCTATGTGAAATAATACAGGATTAAAAAATATGGCAAAAATATGTAGGTGAGAGAGAGGCAACAGATAGGTTGCAACTAGTGAGGTCATTGAATGCAAAATTACAAAAAAAAGACGATCTTGCTCAGGCAGTGTCACCCTGAAGTACACACGGGGGAAATGTGATCGTGGAATAAAGTTGCATACTTTGAATATTCCTATTCCCTGATAAATATCACCTGATCTTTGAATGATGTGTCTTTATATGTTCCATTGCTGTACACTATCCAAACAAATAGAGCACGTGATGTGCGTGAGTGTTTGGTTTGTGTGTGTTTGTCTTACAGTGGTGCTTGAAGCTGCCTCACTTCCAGTCTGAGCTCAGAGGAGCTGTCCTGGGTGCTGAAACACATTTTCCCTCACATTACACTGACTGAACATCATTCATAACGTTAAGTGGATCTTAAACCAGTCGCCCACCCTAATATATAAAGATTAACTCTTTAGAAAACGGCGGGCTCGCTGTAAAGTGAACTGTCTGTGAGTGTTTGCGGCAGACTGAGCGTGTGCCTCACTTGGCGGTGGACCGGAGCAGCGAAACCCCTCTGCGCCTTCACTCCACAGGAATCCCACCGACGCACCTCTTGCGGCTGGATTTTCTCCTCCAAGACAGATAGCAGGAAGGGGACATCCAATTCCCACAGTGAGCGCGAATCTCTGCCCCAAGTACCGGGAGGAACAGGTAGGAGCAAACTGCAACAAACGGAGTCAGCGACATCATTACTGTGATTGAGTGGCCGCGTTTTTGTTCCATTCGTTTATGTTTGAGGTTTTCTTTAAATGACAGCACGGAATCGTTTCATCACAAGATGTCAAAGCTCATTACCAGGTAAAGGGGAAAGCGTTTTGAGTGTTTTTAGGGTGAAAGCTGCGAGTTCTTTGCAGAGTAATTACTGTTCTGATCATGCCCAATAAGGTTTCGCCATTGGAGCACCACTGACACACTTGAGAAAGTCTCCCACTGTGGGCACAAAGTATTTCAAGGCTAATAAAGTGAAAACGTGTTGTCATGGAGAAGCTCACATTGTCTTTTCAGCTCCCTGAAACAACCATAGTGCTCACTTGATTTCTCTAATAATAAAAACAACAACAACAACAATAATAATAATAGTAATAATACAATGGTAAAGCAGTTGATAACAGTTTAAAACAAAGACGCATTACCTTTACATAAACCCCCTTTGACAGTCACTCTTTCGAAGATGTATTTCATTGGTATATTAACATATCCGTACTCAAATGTGTACCATTGGTGAACAATGTGGCAGTATAGAATGTTATGTTAGTATAGAATAGTAATGTTTTAAGGTCTGAGCAGGTGGTTGGTGTTTCCGGCTGGAATCTGATGTCCTTCAGCAGCTGTCACGATTCAAGTGTCCCTATTTGAGAAACACTGATGACAAGGGGGGGAATGTGCATGAGCTTCAGTCCAGCTCATAATCACTGTATATAGAGGTTTTAACGGTTGATGATTTTTTTCTGTTTTAGTTATAAGATAGACATCTCCATAAGCACAGCAAATGACTCCTTTGTGCAGCTTACATTGTAGCTGTACACAAACGCTTCACTGAAACTCCTACGAATGGGAATCAAATGTACGACTGTTGAAAATGTTTTTATTTCCTATAAAAGGAGCAGATCGCACACAAACATCTGGCGTCTGTCTGAGAGGCTGACCTCTAGCTGACCTCACTCACCAGCCCTTCACGTCTCCCCACGGGGATCCAAATCTTAAACTTGTGTTTGTGGATGACGTCTCTTTATGTCATCAGTCTAACCAATCCAAATCATGAAAGAAAATGCTGTTCTGAATGGCCTGCCTTTTCGTCTGCAGCTGGATTCATGGCAGCAAAATGTCTCTACCCAGTCCTGGAATTCAAGTAGTGTGAGCATTTGTATTCACAGTTGCAGACTGCAATACATTTCTCGTCCTGTAGTCTAAAGCCTCAAATAGCTGTTGTAATGTGACTCACACATCATTATTCTTATAGGCGGGGTGGATACATTTTGATGTGACATTCTCTGAGTTACAATTTACTACCACTAGCAATAAACAAACCAAACCAATAAAAAAGACAGAACATATTCAATCAATCAATAATTTTTCTTTCTTTTTTCAAAAATTATTTTCTCTATATTTAAAAAATAAGACATAAACATGGTCAAACAAAGATTTCTTTAATTTTTCACATAATTAAATCAGGAATGGAATGAATGTTTGTCAGGAATCCATGAACATATTAACTATGGAACATTTTGGCTTTGGTTTAAAATGGACAAAAGGTAAAAATTGTCTTTTTTCACATGACTTGTATCGAAGGCCTCATTTAATCTTTTATTTATTCAAATATTTTAGGACTAGTGACAATTTTTAAATGGAAACATCTGGAATCAATTTGGTATACATAATATTCATATTTTTTTTACTTTGTTGCTTTTGTACCCATCTCGCTTGCAGTGACTTATCACCAAACACTCCTGCGTGTCTCCTTTCTCCTCCAGATTGCTCTGGCACCATTCTCTTAATTTTAAATCAACAGCTGCTGGGAGCCATGAGTGCGTGCAGCAGGAAGGCTCTGACTTTACTCAGCAGTGTCTTTGCAATCAGCGGCTTGGGGTTGCTGGGAGTGGCCGTGAGCACAGATTACTGGCTGTACCTGGAGGAGGGCGTCATCCTGCCCCTGAACCAGAGCGTCGACATTAAGACTTCCCTGCACTCAGGCCTGTGGAGAGTCTGCTTTCTGGCTGGTAAGAACCGCAGACTTCAGTGAGCTGCGGCAACCTGACAGTCGGCCATCTGCGAATCGGGACTGTGGCAATGCTAATGAAATTAGATTTTACAGTGTCACTTTCAAAGATGTTCATTCTCGAGCCGCGGCTGCAGAGAGAGCTGATCCTGTCAGACTGACATATCGTCACCGCATCCACCGGCTCTGACAGTCACACAAAGTGACATTCACGATGACTTCATTAGCGAGTCCCTGTGCATGTGCGTCAAATGGGGACTGTGAGTAAGAGTGGAACTGAAGTTGCAAAGTGATAGTGAGAGCATCAGAATTACTGAGAGCGAGTCCTGAGCAGTCAGTTGTACACACACACAAACACCGACAACCTTCAGAAACAGATGTCACCATGCCATGGAGTGGATGATACCAGCTGGTGTCTGTGTGACACTCACTGCGAAGCCCTATTCACAGGATGTGATGTAACTCACACTCATTTACAAAAAAAGAAGTCTATCGCAGAATGAGAAGACTTTTTTTCTATAATCTTACACCATTCCTTCTCAAAAAGTAATAAGTAAACAAACAAAAGCAAGAGACAGAAAAACAAAACATGCCTGTACAAGTAATCTAACAAGAAACAAAGGATAACAAACATCTTCTTCACGGTTCATGGCAGAGGTGGGCCACTCTGGGTCTCAAGGGCTGCTGTGATGCCGTTTTAACATGTTTCAATGCTTCAACACGTCTGATTCAAATCAATACTACATCAGAAGACCTGTGCACAGCTTGACAGCCTTTTGAAGAGATCTGTTCAATCTAATGCAAGTGTATTGATGCCCTGGTTGAAAGCGATCAAGCAAAGCTAAGGGAGAATCACATGATTGAACACAGGTGATACAAAGTAAAACTAAATGGGATGGTGAAGTAACAAATGTCCCACCATTAAACAGGAAGTTTAAAAAAAAAAAAGACACTACTAGTATAAGTTTCTCTGTAATGAATTGGAGGAATGAATAATACATTAAGGTCAATTTGACAAAAATGACTCTCAAACCAGTACCATGAAAATGTTACAATCATTGTTTAATGGTTTATTAAATGTTTTAACTTTTAGCTGTGGCTGTCTGTTCTAAATGTTAAAATGATACTAAATCCTGATTGACGTTTGCTTGTACGTGACCTGATTTGTTAGTGAAAGCGCAGATATTTGATCCTCAACCATCTCTACAGAACCGTTGTGTTTGTCTAGCCTGTGGAGCACAACATGTTCCTCTTTTTTACTTGATACGTTATCGGTTTCCATCTCTTTTGTTTCCAGGTGATGAGTCAGGCCGCTGCTTTACCATCGAGTACATCATGCCTATGAACATCCAGCTGACGTCAGAGTCCACTGTGAATGTGCTGAGTGAGTTACAGCACAAACTGAAGCTTATAATTATCCATTACAAGCCATTCATGGAATCAGTAGGGGTGTTTCTCCGGAAAAACCTTGTTGGTTTAGAATACAGTTTCATTCAGGTATATTCTGTCTGTGTACAGTCAGAGTAATAAGCATGAGTCATCTGAAATATTGTGCTCTTGCCAAGTTTTCTTTTGAGAAGTTTTTGCCTTCTTCTTCTTCACACACAGTTTGTGAAGAAGGTGCAATCACTATAGGGATTTGCTTTAAAGACTACCAACTTTTTTGTGTGAAAACTTACCAAAAATGTATATTTCTCAGAGTTAATAGTGAAATCAAATATAAAGTAAATCAGAAGCTATGGTTGTGAGATCTAATTCGAGCATATGCTGACATGTTAACCACCACATCACCATGCAAAACCCACAGGAACAGAAGTGGGATTCATAAGTGGGATTCGTAAGTGGAATTCATAAGCGGGATTCATAAGTGGGTTTCATAAGTGATATAATTGGCTTAATGATACAGGAGGAGAACAGGTGCTGACTAAAAAGCAAGAGAATAGTTTTTAAAAGCCAAATTTTTCAACTTTTCCATTATCATTACAGCTCAACAGTCCAGTGTTTAAAATGGCATTTAATAAAAGTCTCTCCAGCAGTTATCATGTTGCATTCTTTTGACTTTAAGCAGAAAATTAGACCTAAGTAGGATTGGGGCCATAGTGCTGGCTCTTTGGATGCTCTGGAACAATTCATTCAGATGAAGACTGATTTCCTTTTTTTGTAAGTTTGTATATCTCTTACAAAATTAAATACAAATCTGATTATTATCTTGGGAAGATGCTCAGAACGCAAAGTGATAAGGAGAGTACTATACATGTGTTATATGTACTTTGAGCTTAAACACCAACTGTCCTCCACAGAGATGATCCGCTCAGCTACGCCATTCCCTCTGGTCAGCCTGTTCTTCATGTTTATTGGGTTTGTTCTCAACAACATCGGGCACGTTCGTCCTCACCGCACCATCCTGGCATTTGTCTCCGGAATCTTCTTCATCCTCTCAGGTGCACAGATCTTCCATTTCCTCTTTTTCTTCTCGTAGCATTCTTGTCTTCTCTGCTTTTCATCTTAGTCAAACTCTTCGTCCGTCAGGACTGGCTCTGGTGGTGGGCTTGGTGCTGTACATCTCTAGTATAAATGATGAGATGCTTAACAGGACCAAGAGCAGCGAAACTTATTTTTCCTATAAGTACGGCTGGTCCTTTGCCTTTGCTGCCCTCTCCTTCTTGCTCACTGAGGTGAGTCTCTGTCTTCAGGCTCCAGATTGTTCCACACGGTTTGATTGGTCCATTTTAAACTATTTTCCACTATCACTCTGTATGTTTTATAGTCTGTACTCTTATAAAGCTTCTCACTCAATGGTATATTGACTTGAGTGTTAATTAGTGTTTACTGCTCTCTGGTGGTGAAAGCTAGAAACTGCACTGTAACATGAGGCCAAAATAAATTTAAAAAACAAAAACACACAATCCGCAAAATAGTAATAATAGATTTATATCTATAGATAGATACAAAATAGATAGACACAAGTAATTATAATTTGTCAGGCTATCAATGTATAACGAATAGAATGCCATTTCTATTTTCTATCATGAAATGTTGTGGTTGTGATAGTGTTTGGAAATTGTTATTGTCTGTAACTGTTTCAGTTATTTCTCCTCACTACAGAGCGCAGGGGTCATGTCTGTCTACCTGTTCATGAAGCGCTACACAGCGGAGGAGATCTACCAACCGCGCCACCCCAATTTCTATCGCCCTCGTCTCAGCAACTGCTCCGACCACTCTGGTCAGTTCCTCCACCCTGAGGCCTGGTCACGCGGGCGGAGCCCTTCAGACATCTCGAGTGAAACTTCCCTGCAGATGAGCACCAGTTACCCTGCCCTCCTCAAGTGTCCCGACTATGACCAGGTTTCCTCCTCACCCTGCTGAGCGGTGGGTCACCACAGCGATGAGCAAACGAGGTCAAAGGCCAGCGAGTTTTCTTTTCAAGTTAAGACACACGTCAGATGTTCAGCTGTGAGACTGAGCCTTTTTTACTTTGGCCAAAGGATAAGAGGCTGTTGTAGTCATCTATCAGGTCAGAAGAGCATTTTTTGGAAAATGATTGCAGTAGAAACTACAGTTTCTTTCCTAGTAGATGCAAAGTCTGCGCATTTTTAAAGCTGCACCATCATTTTGTTCTGCAAAGATCTCAAAAGTTTGAAGTCTGTTTGCTGAATTTTTATATTTTTTACAGCATACAAAATGCCTTTTAACTTTGATTTGCATTTTGATTTATTTGTATCAACTTTTAGTGCCTCCTGGACAAAATATATCTTTAACATTTCTTAATCTCTTGGTTCTAGAACTAGATTGTGGCAGTATTTATGTATCCCTTCTATTAATGTGAGAATAAGAAATATATTGATATTTTACTGACTGATAATGATAATAATAATAATACTGTGGGGGGAAACTTATTTCTAAAAAGGGTGCACAGCTAAAGAAGATGTCTTTTTAAAGCTGGAGTCACATGTCACCCATCACAATGCTCAGTATGGCCAAAGTAAAATGTAAAATACTTTGTAGTCTTTAACATTCTGTATACATCTAACTGAACTTAAGTCTATGTTTAATATGTTATCGTTGGTATTGCTGTGTATCCAAACCTTAGTCCTCAAGGCACACTGTCCTGCATGTCCTACAAGTTTCCTGTGACAGCACACCTGATTCAAGGGAAAGGGGTCAACCTTCTGCAAGGCTTAAAGAGCTGAAGAGTTCACTTGGCTTTTAAATCAGTTGTGCTGGAACAGGAAAGCTTGGTAAACATGCAGAGAATTTTGCCTTGCTAACCAGGGTCCTTGTGTGGTATCTGCACTTTGTTTTTTTTCGCTGTGGTAAAAATAAATTAAGATCAAATTGTTTGCACTACATAAATGTCACCTTTTCCACAAAGCAGATATGTCCCATATAAAGTCAATACTAATAACTTTCAAGGGAAAAAATACTCACAATTTCAGCTGTGATTCTGGTAATCGGCATTTCAGCAGATGCTAAATATGACAAGTCTTCAGTGGAAACAGACGTAAGACATCCTACTCAAAAGACAAATCACTGTCAAATCATATGCACATGCATTTGATTCATGTACAACCTATTTCTATATGTACAGATATTCTACATGATATGAATTATTTCCATTGAGATGACGATGTATAACATGTGCTAAAGTTTGAGTGTGACTGATGGTGTAGCTACTGTGCTGTAGCATAAGAGGTTTTTGCTTTAACATTAAATGAGCTGTACAATAAATGATTACCATCCAACAGAGACAAGTTGTGCCCTGTTTTCAACTTTAAAACTGTAATTTAACAGCTGTAATTCTTCATGCATCCACTAGAATGCAGTGCTTGTGTTGTTTAAGAGTGAACATCTCAAGTCTTTTTTTTTCTTGAAATTATAATGTAATCCTCTACATGAGGGGTGTTCAACTCCAGCCCTTGAGGGTCACTGTCCTACAGCCATTACTAGGGCCCCATTCTGACTGAGTGGCAAAAATAATTTTATGCAAGATAATATGATTTTCCAAAGTATGGAACTGTTCTAATTTCATCCACCTCCTCTGTTTTAATGTTGTTCTGTTAGTATTTTGACTATTGTCTTTGTGAGGTGTGTGATGGCTGATCTTCAGAACTGTATCTGCAGAGTAAAATGTGTTTCTACAAGAACTGAACGATTTAGTCTGTGAGACTTTCACTTTCTTAGACAAAGAACTGAACAACCAGTAGGGGGCAATATCCCTTCACTGCTTTTGCTCTACATCTTTCCAAAGAAATACAAATTCATTCAGCTATCCTTTTTTTTCTATTGGTTGTGTCATTTTACCATTTTTACAGGATTGCAACAGGCTTACAGTGTTATAAGCTCGTCACTGAAATGTATGAGTTTTTAATTAATTAGGGCTTATTTTTGTTTCTTTAGAAAGTAGGTCAAGTTCAGCATCAATAATGAATACGCCATGATTCTGCTATAAGCTTTATGCATACTTTATGTCGATACACTTATAGTACATCGTGACCAATATCTTTTACAGAGATTATAAAAGTTAATGCAACTACACGCCCGCACAGAGCAGTAGAAGATAATATTGAGCCCCTAACACAAGGCCTTTTATTTTATTTTACAATCACATAGAAAACTATGGGTGTTTTTTGACATCATCATTTCTATTTTATAATCAGTGATATTAGCTTTTCATAATCATTAACATCAAACATCATAATCCTCATAAGCAGTATAGATACGACAAACTTTCTCACTCATCAGTCATGGCTTATTAAGAGCTTTATCACAGTTATTGACCAAGATTTTCATCACCACCATTATTGTTATCATCATCACTATCACTATCATATATCCACTGATGATTATGTTTAAGGCTTTTGCAAAGAAGACCCCAAACTTCAGCATATGCTTACCTGTCAGACGGAGTGTGCATACTTCAACAAAGAGACCAGAAAACCTATACATTATATATACATACATAACTTAAGCTTGTGTTGATTAAAGTTTACAAGTAGTATTAAACCATTTCACAAATGAAAATAAATACAAAAACGATGGCTGATTGTTCTATAGAAATTCTTTAAGAGGAACACAAAGCAAGCAAGGATCTTTAGGAGTACAAACTTAATGCAAACAGGATCACAACAATACACTTAATTAACATAGGCAAGAGAAGCGAAAAGAAGGGAGGAAAAAAGCTTAATTGGACTGGTACCTATTGTGAATCTGCACAGCAATTAATCAAACTCCCCCTTTGGACAAAAAATATAGTCAAAGGTATAATCCTTAGAATATCCATGAGTTCAGATCTTATTCTAATAATTTTCTTTGGTCAGCGCTCCAGCGAAAGTGAAACCAGACTTTGTCATTCTCCAAATGACTGTGCCTTCAAATAAGAAAGTAATAATTTTTGGGGGAAGAAATTGATGTCACATTGCCATCCTGACGCTTCATCATAAGTGAAACAGAGGCTTTGATGTTGCAAAAGATTAGTGCTGACAGCAGCGATTTAGAAACAGTTTCTTTCTTTAAACTTAATCTTAATTGGTCATTTTCCTTTCATGTGGAAGAATTGGCAGCCACAGTGAAATATGGCATGAAGAGCTTCAGGCTGCTTCTCAGTAGAAAACTTAAAAGCTAAAATCTGAGGCCGAGATGCAAAACTCAAAACATTTTGAATCTGTTGAACTGTAAAATGGGTCTCTTTTGCTGCATTTTATGCTAGTGAAAGTTTTATAAAGCAGTGTGAATCGTTCCAAATTGAAAAGTTATAAAATCTTAAGGATTACCACTTCAAGTCCAAAAAGCAAGTTTAAACTGAAGCTTCAGCAAATGCACCATTGCTACTCAACTAAAATGAAAAGATATGCACATTTTAAAAGTCTCTGCTCCATGTGAATAAATTAAATCAGCCCAGCTGACTCGAGACTGTAATCCTTTATTTAAAACCTAAAAGTAAGCTGGCTTTTTCTGAGGTTACTCTGAACAGGGAACCTTGAAGACGAACGCGGCACAACAGTGAGAGACGACACGGTCCAGCTGAGGTTATACTGCACTGGTTAAACCACTCCTCAAATGTATCCACCTGTCTCCTCGTACCGTCCTCCTTGAAGTTGACGACCATCCATCCAAACAACTAGATTTTTTTTTATTTCGGTTAGCTTTTCAAGAAGCACCTTGTCTGCACTGATAGCATGCACACTGCTGCACCACATACAAGAAAACATTTGTCGATGATGAGCCACATCCATGCATGTGCACCTGAAAGATGGTAGTTGTGCTTTGAAGATACATATCAACTTATTATGACCTTGTGTGAGGGATTGGGATGGAACATGAAAGGGGCACAATTCGTCTGGTTGGTGTTTTCGCTGCTCCATGTAAGAACCAATTTGATGTATTTTTAGTTCACAGAACTCCGCTGTCCCCTCACTAGTGTACGATGTCTTCCCAACAAGTGCCACTATCTTGTAGGCAGTCCAAGGAAGAAAGCACAGTTTGCCTTGAGGCCAGGACAGTCATTTCTGAGGTTGATCCACCTTTCCAGCCCGCTGTTTACATTTTCATGAACAGAAGAGAAAGATGGAGTGGTGTAGGTGCTCACAACATGGTCCCTTTTCATTTCTTGTTGGCGATGCGTCTCTTCCTGGTAGCAAGCATGTCGTAGAAAGGGTCTCTGCTAATGCTGGCCCTACAGAAGCCAATCAAAGGACAGCAGAAAAAAATAAATAGGGCCACATGAGAGGAGGGTCTCAAACATCTTTGATATGGAAATGTCAGCACATTTATACAGACCCCTGCCTTAACTAGATCGGGGGGAAAAAAAGAAAAAAGTTTTTGCAGTGACCTAGTTTGGTTTCCATGGTTTCAGAAGATGAGCTGCCAACCCTACCAAGTTTTTACTCAGCGTTATGGTTCGCTGAAATGAGTTTTCTTCCTGAACCTTCCCAAGAATGTAGTAAAACATAGAAACGCACACATTTCCTCTTGTTCTCCTGCTGTTTACTGGCCTGAAGGAGAACAAACAATGGTGCTCAAAATAATGTGAGCGAGCGAGTCAGGAAGCCATTTAGGCTCTGCAGAGAAGCCCAGTTTCCATCCATCCATCCATCCATCCATCCATTATCAATGCCGCTTATTCCCTCATGGGGTCGCGGGGGGAACTGGAGCCTATCCCAGTGGTCAACGGGCGAGAGGCAGGGTACACCCTGGACAGTCCGCCAGTCCATCGCAGGGCCACACAGAGACATACAAGGACAAACAATCACTCACACTCACATTCACTCCTAAGGGCAATTTCCCCAATCTCCAATCAGCCTAACATGCAGGTTTTTGGACTGTGGGAGGAAGCCGGAGAACCCGGAGAGAACCCACGCAGACACAGGGAGAACATGCAAACTCCACCCAGAAGGGTCCTGGTTCCCCCGGGATTCGAACCCAGAACCCTCTTGCTGGGAGGCGACAGTGCTAACCACGACACCACCGTGCCGCCCAAGCCCAGTTTCACGGTTGCTAAATCCTGTTAGCACTAGCACAACGCAAGAAGAGGCTCAACCCCCCACTGTGAATATCTCTAATTCCTTTTGTAATGCCACACACTCACGAATAGTCTAGGTACAATGACTATGCTCCTCTTTCACACAGCTCTCTGTTATCAACAACCCAATTTCGTGAAACAATGACTCCACCATGGAGTTATCAAATCCCGCTTGACTGCCACAGCTACCATTTCACATCATTTCTGTCACTGACAACATGGAATTGATAGCTACCTGACGTAGCTAATGGAATGGGGAATATAATATTTAATACTTTTAATTTCAACAAAGAATGCATCCAGTCAAATGAACAGCCAGGAGTAAAGTTAGCCCAGCATCATCTGGGAGTGTGTGTTTGTGACTACAGATAACCAGATGCCTCTGCTTAAAAAATCGTAATTTACACATAAAGCCTCCCCAGAACCAGAATCTCCTTAGAAACCCAATCCATAGCTCACTACCCACCACCACTGAGAATGCATCAACCCAAGTTGGAGCTGCCTCTCCTGGATTGGTTTTCTGGCTCCCCCCTGGAGTGCTAAAAGCAGTAACTTAACCTTAATCATTTCTCTTGTGAATTCTCTTTGATGGTATGGAGAGAGGCAGAAAGGATGAGAGCATTCACTATATTACGGTATACAAGAGCTCTGTTCTGCTGAGCCAACTCTATTTGACATTGCACCATCTTCCATGCAGGTGATTACAGAGCATCCTGCATTTAGGTCACTAACGGCAGGGTTGTGAGTGCTATTTATTATTTCTGAAAGAAAGCAACCACATTTTTATTGTTAGTTTTAAAGTAAATAAAATGTGGTACAGAAACACGTACAAGGAGAAGATTAAAGCCTAAAACAACTGCACATCAAATCTTTAAAAAAATTTAAGATACAACTGAAATTTTGACCAGCATTTTTAAACATTTGATATTGACTTATCTAATTGCTGATTTAAAAAAAATATATATAAATACATAGTTACAACCTGTGAAAGTAAATACTTAATTTGCTGTTTGTTTCATCCATTAAGAAGCTAATGCTTAAAAAACACAAATAGGGGGGTAGCACCATCTCTGTGAGGGGGTATCTTACTTAATTGATTTAATCCACTCCTCTTTCTCCTCAGGTGTGGGTGCTGATATCCTGTATACCACGTGGTTGCCCTCGACAACGCGCCCATCTGCTTCCGTTTTGCAGGCTTTTATCACCTGACCCTTGTGATTGGGGTTGTAGAGCTCAAAACAGTTCTGGAGGATTTATAAAAGGCAGACAAATAGTATATGCAGGTAATTAGTTTTGAAATGGGAATATTTCTTAACACTGTAACCATGGACATGATATATGTGAGCCAAAGCTGTGGTGTCTATCAAGGTAACACTCACAGGTTTCCTAGGCTCCTCTACTTCCCTGATGCTGAGATTCTCCAGAGGTATGATCCCACGAGGTTCTTTGTCCTATAGGAGAGAAAAACGATAACAGGATGACAAGATGGCAGAGGGATGGAGAAGGAGAAAAATAACTAGTAGGGCTAAAAAAAACTCATATGATGAGGTGAAAAATCAAGGAAACAGGCAAAAACATCTAAAGAAAAATGGGTTAAATGAGAGTGTTTTTGGAAAGAGAGGAAAATGTCTGCTGTGACTTCTATAGGCATAAAAACAAGCCTTTTGTTCCTTCTCCCCTCGTCCCCTTTACCGGACCAGATAATGTGTGCACACAGCAGTCAGACTAGAGGACGGGACATAATTATAGTGTCCAGAAGGATAATACCAGGGTATACAAAGGACATTGCTGATGCTGCAGTTAGCTCACAGAGGCAATGATAAAAATCTTTAAACACTACTAACAGACAGGGATGGGGTAAAATCCAGATATTAATAATTGATTTATCAATATGGCTATTTCAACTGCAATGATTACTGATGACAATTAAATCACAAGTGCAATCTTAGTCCACCATGCCCATAAGTGGACATTTAAGGAGCACTCGGCTTCTTGGGATGTTTTCTGCGCTTCATAATTAATGGTTATAGTGGGTTTCCAAAAAAGCATGGGGCAATGGTTAAAACTGGAAAAAAAAATGGAAAATCGTAACACTCTCTGTGATGATATGCAGAGGAAGTGAATTGCTTATTTTGACACGTGTCAAAACCAATGAGGACACCAGCATGTGTGCCACTGATGCATCACCTCCACAGTGAGCTTTAATTCAAATTCAATGATTCAAAAGTGAATTATTTACTAAATCAAGCTCATCAAAATTTTATTTGCTCAACTCTCTGGCACATTTCGGTTTCCAAATGTGCCAAATGTTTTCAGATGGGTGATAGGTGTAATGAAACTAAGTATTCACCAGTTGGAAGGGACTAAAATGGTGGCATAAGCACAAAAAGACTCATAGAAGCTGCCCATTTCCTTTTAAACAGATTCAACAGGGTATATCTGTGCAGAAGCAAACATATTGCAGCAAATTTAAACTCTTTGCTCTTCAGAATTCCAGCCTGTTTTCAATTGCAAAATTAAAACAAAATTAAACCTTTCTGCCTTTAAAACAAAAGCCCAATCTGTCGTTCTCTCTAAGTGGTCAGAATTGCACACACACACAATTGCAAAGATGCCTTTTCAAGTTCATAGTCCTGTTACAAAACTCACAGTTGTGTATTCGAAGTAATAGAGGCAGTTGTCCGTCAGAATGAACCACCGTCTCTTCCAGGTTTTCACCCGACCTCCTGACAGGATGAGAAAAAGGAGACAGGAAGTGACACAATGGCCGCAGTGACAGACTGACTGTCTCCAGTCAGGAAAAAGAGCAGGATACGGGATGCTTTTTAATGAAGCCAAGCAAAATCCATGTTTTCTTATTTTTGTTGCAATATGACATCAATAACAAAACGATCTCTTGACAAATTAGAGCTGGGATAGGTTTCAACCTCCCTGTGACCCTAAACTGGAATAAGTGGGTATAGATCCTGAAAAAATGTTGGTGTATTTAATTTACCTACGCATCCTAAACCTCTTAAATTTGTCATGTGATTTGTGAAGCCATATTACAGATGCCACTGAAAGATGTATTTGGGGTTTTCCTGTGATTCTGCTAGCTCATTTATTGTGTCCAGTCATACGTAGTTACTAAGAATAAAGTGTATATTTTGGGATTGAGACGATTTTAAATAAATGTGGTCAGAGATCATATCTGAGACCCATCACAATTCTTTCCAAACTTTAAGCTCAGTTAAATGATGACTCGAGTAGCTGATAAATTATTAAGGACTCTAAACATTTAAGTTTTTAGAGCCACAGGAAAAAGCCCGATTTGTTCTCAAGAGAGGTGAACAAGTTTAATACTCCAGATGAACCCAACATGGCTCTAAAAAGCATCCCTTAAGGAGCACACACATATGTTGATACATAAAACAACAACGCATACCAAGCCCCAGAGCAAGTTCACTGCCTTACCCTCACTTTAATGAAAATCCCCAAAATTCAAAAAATGAAAAGGAATTAATGAAGGAAATAAAATAAACTCAAAACTCACAATTGGGCAAACATGTAACAGAGAAAGTTTAAAGCAGAATTTGGCCTCTAGGAGTTAGAAAATTGAAGGAAAACACCAGTCTTAACAAAATGAAAGAGCTCTTTACAGTCCGACATCGGTGCCTGCAGTATGCATGCATACCTGCATCTATTACAGATATCAAAATATTTTGTATGTGTCTAGCTGTGTGCATTGACCCAACATTCCAAATTCTTCACTGCAGCATTTCCTTCCTCTATTCTTGGTCTCTCATAAGAGCCAATATGAGCCACATAATTACAAAAGCTCTGGGCTCCCATACATATCAACAGACTCTGGCTATTGAACTAGCATGTCCAAATTTCCGCTCTGAATAGAGAGATTCACTAAAAAGGCATTAATTCCATCTCATTCTCCAGGGTTTATTTTTAGAGTTAAATTAGAAATATTTTTGTGAGAACTGGTGCGGTAAATGGCTCCAGGGAGGAACCATACCAGAGTGAATGTAATCATGTTAGGTCTGGGAGCCACAGAGGGGTTATTTGCATTCACACTCACTGACTTGATGTGGCCACAGCGACGTTACACAGAGTTAGAAGAATGTGCAGGTCAAAGCCAGGTGTGTGAGCGTGTGTAAACATAGTAATAAAACTAATCACCTGCAGCGAGTTTGCCCTTTAACCCATGACAAACAGCACACAGGCTACTAAACATTCATTATGCTCAGTCATAAAACTTTAAGTGTGGAACAGTGAATGCAAATGAATGTTGGTAAGGGCCTATGAATAATTTGACCACTGGAGCAACGGCTGAGAAACAAAGAGTAGAACTGAAAGATAAAAGAAAACACATGGAGATGGGCATGGAGAAATCCTGAAGATTATATGTGTTCTGTTCCTTTAAATTATGCAGTTGGTTTTCAGAACCATTGGATGTATCAAAATAGGACAGTGGTCCCGCTTGGTTCCATTTAGAGTCTAACAGATGGAATTAAGTGTACACAGCTACTGATTTTGTGTGGGTATAAGTCATCATTCAAGCCCATTAAACTGAGACAGATTCAACTTGAACCTTGGGAGAAGGTATTTTTTTCAAAAGCTTTTTGCACAGTAGACATTGTTAAAAGATCCATTTCAAGTCAATGATATCATCCTACATATACCTCAAAGTAATGCTCAGGATGTATTTATAGATCTCTCAAGTAAGAAATGGTCCAAGTATTGGTTTTGACCCAAACAATGTGTCTGCTAAATGCATTTATGTAAATAAAAAGTTCAATCACACCTTTACCCTAACCAACACAAAGACCCAAGAAATGTATTTCTGCCTCATCAGGAAAGGCCGTTGGTCCCCATGAAGGGGAAAGATCCCAAAAGATTTAGTACCTGTACCACACAGCGTTCTAGCGTCATAACACAACTTTGGCAATGATATGTTTCCAAAGGACAAATTAATCTGTTCTGCTACATGAGCACCAGCTTCCTGTATGTTAATCAAATGGTGCTGAAAGCTCAGTCTTAAAGTTTCATTTAGATTTTATTAAATATGGGCTTTATATACAGAAGAAATCAACTATTATTTTACAAAGGAGATTATCTTGCTTCAGTGGTATGTTGTGACTGAAAACATTGGCTCTTGGCATTTTGACCACACACCCCTTACCTAAACTTTGTTTAGATGTTTGTCCTTAGAGTTCATTGTTTGCCACATATTCAACAAGTGAAATATGTCCAGTAAGCCATTTTTATGTAAGAGGTTCATTTTTACTGTTCCTGGTTTCTCTTATTTCTTATTCTAACTCTGCCAGAAGATGAAAAACAGTGTGCACAAAGTTTTACAAGTATACAAAGATTCCTCTTTCACTGCAAAGGTTTGAAGAAAAACACTGAGTACACCGAGCCTTGACTGTCTTTCTGCTTGTTTCCTACAACATTGCTGCAACCCTGGCAGATTTAGGTGACTCATCATTATTTTCCTCACACAAAACTATAAAGTTGATTGATTTGTTCCACTGCGACTGAGCAATTTGGAAAAAATGTAACCAGTGATGGTTTTACAGTTTTTTTGTCACATCAGAAATAAACAAGTTGATTTTTCCAGGATGTATTGTATTCTCTCCGCAGCTGAAAGCTGAGAAACTCAGACTAACCTAATTTGAGCAGCCAGCCTTCTCTGTCTGGGTTGAAGAATGTGTGCGTCAGGTCATTCCCGTCGTCCTCTGGGATCTTAAATGGCTCGCTCTTGATGCTGTCATATAGATTCTGAAAATACCAAGTAGCATGGGAAAAGGCTGGCATTAAAGCATATTAAAACTTCAATCTCATATCCACGCCTTTACATTGCAGGTGTATTGAATACAGCTTCTCATCAGACACAATGACTCATACTCAACAACTCTGGGAGCTGTCAGAATTTTAAACAAAGTGTCTGGGCCATTTGGGTAGGAGTTAAGGTTTTGATGTCTCTTTCATTGAAAGATCAAAAAGCATGAATGAAGATCTCACTGTCTGAGGTCAAATGTCTTAATCAGTGAAGTCTGTGCTACAAAGGTTTCTTTTGTGTATGCGAAAGCATGAAGAGCGGATCAGTAAAACCACTACTTTGCACTTTTGCTATTGTAATGTCTAACGTTCACATTAGAAGGGTTGAATCCAGCATGATGAACTAATTAAGTCGAAGTTCTCACCCTGAGTAGCTCCTCTGGGAGGTCTCCTCCCTCATTGATCCCTCTGTTCATGGAGATGAAGCGCTCCACTGGGGGCTTGTCTCTGACGTTTGGATTGTGGAGACTGGTGTTCAGCATAATAATGGCAAACGATAGGACGTAGCAAGTATCTGTGGAAGTGATTGCACACAGTGTCACGGGACACGCTAACTGCAGCAAAAGGCTACATCTGTTGTTCCTGTTTGGCAAAATTGTTTGGTCTTTCATTTATTTACTAATTTACTATAAAGTAGTGGTTATCGTGTTATAGTGGTCTGCGCTACGTGGCAGAGGCATTGAGATGGGATTTATTAGTAAACAGTAAATCAATTCATTTTCACATTGACAAGTTTAGGACTTTGTCCAATTGAAGAAAATGTAATCAACAAAAAGCCCTGTTCTGCCTCTGAGGGCCAAGAGGTTCTGCAGTCACGACAATATTCAGACACACACACACACACATATCTGTGATCCACTGCTCAGACGACTCCACATCATAACTCACCTCATCCATCCACAAACTAATTTATAGCCCCGTGCGCTCTGCTCTTGAGAGATAACCAATAACTTAGACTGGGTGTGCCCCCACTGCATCACATCAATATTCATGGCCTGGGCTGTCACCTGTGCCTTCGCTGAACATGGGATCAGCAGACAACATGCTTTAGGCCAGTACTGCACTAATGAACTCTATTGATCAAGGATCAATTTCATTATCGCTGCTGAAACATGGATACTGATTACACCAGGATCAGTTAGCAACCAACAACATGTTATTTCGTGGAGTAAAGTCATCAGGTCCAGACTCAACAATAAACAGCCGGTCTGAAAGTAGATGCGTGCATGCTATACCTGACGAGTGTCAGGTGATGGCCACATAGTTAGATTTATACCGCGCAAACGGGCCAAACTGCCCAGCTCAAAAAGACAGACAGTCTGAGCATTGATCAGAGTCTGGAGTGGTCTATCTGGCACATGCGGTTTGTCCAATCTGACTCATGAGTGTGTGGGCTGTGTCTGCGGTACCTGTGGACTGGAAGACTCCGGGATTGCACTGACAATACCTGGAGGCAAACGCCTCCATCATGCGATCAATCTTCTGGGCCTCGCCAGGAAGTCTGAAGCTCCACAGAAACTGCCTGCAAGAGCAGATAAAAGACGTATTGGGAGATGTCGAGTAAACATTCCTGAAAACATGCATTACGATAGATGAAGGTTTGCTGTGAATTAAAAATGCCATCATATCACAGAGGGACATTGTTTAAGACAAAACCTCTGTCGTTGGTTTCACAGTTCATTTGGACTGCTGGCAGGAAAAGTTCTCTGAGCAAAAGTTTGTGAAGACCCCTTTTAGCAAAAATAATAGACAGAGAGTTGAAAATTCTGTGAAATTCTTTTTTTTCTACAGATTTGTGAGTGGTTTTTAGATCATTGGACTGTAAGTTCATGGCAAATATCCCAGCTTGCGTCATTGCCTTTTCAATGTCAGCTTTTTCTTTTAAATAAATGACATGTACGTAGCCCTTGGAATTAGCTTGTATTAAATTGAATTTCGCACTCTGCTTAGCAGTTAAAGAAGTGTCACTTTAATGTGATTAATCACCCTTATTCCTCTCAGCCTCCTTTTCTTATCGTTTCCAGAACGTTTCTTTACACTTTATCCCCGGGACATCTCTCTAAAGTACATCTGGCTTTTTCACGTGTCCATCTGAAAACCTCTGACACTGACTTCTACTGAGGGCACATGAAAGTTTTTCTTTTGATGGAGAACTTGATCGTTTAAAATTGCTACACAGTCGATGATTTAAATTTTTTTTCTATGTTTTCTTATTTACCAGAAGGGATTTCACTAGCCTTCCAAGCAACACTGCACATTCATTCAGTCTCTCAATCTTTCAGACCTCAACTCGTCATCCACCCCCCTGTTGCTGTCAATTAGTATTTCTTTATTACATTTAAGACTGAGAGAAGGGTTCAAACTAAAACCACTATCTTCTTAGAGCCCCCTCCTGCCTGGTGGATATCAATTATTTAATTTTTAGAGTGCAAAGCAGCTGCTTAAAGGAGCACATGACTGCTGAATGTTGCTTTTTTTAAGTATGAGGAGGAAATCTGGCTCATGCTTCTGAAGCATCTGAATGTAATTCACTTATCTGGTGTAATTCTGCTGTTTGGTCCTTCATGTATAAGCACAGACCAAGTACTGCTGCCATGGTGTCAGGGGTTTAAAACCTGAATATTCTAAAGAAGGCAAGTGTTTGAATACACTTTATTTGAGTATTATGTGTGTTAAAAAAAAAGTTAAAAACTCAAACAAATCCATCCCCTCGCTTGTTAATCTTTGCACAGCTCACCTTAAGGCCTGAACGAGGTTGAGGTCTGCAAACTCATGAAGCTCAACAAATGCTTGGAGGACCTTGATGTTGAAGTCATCCCTGGGGACGAAAAGTAACAAGTTTACATTTTTACAAGACTTCCACTCAAACAAATACAGAAGAAATAATGACTAATCTACAAAAATGCACAGTTCCACTTTTGGACACAGAGCTGCTGAGCTCCCCTCAGCAAAGCACAACGACTTCCACACTATTTTGACATGTCCCCGATAACAGCCACGTGTCCTCGAAGTTATTTCACTGGCCTGGTCTCCAGTTGCTGTCTCGCTCCAGAATTCCAGACTTCCTGAAGTTTATGCTTGTGTCGTAGGGCGGGCAATGCATTCATGACAGATGGGGAGAGGAAAAAGTACGATGGAAGGAAAACAGAGAGAAAAGTCTGCAGCTCACCGCTCTCCTAAGTAGTCTCCAATGACCGTTTTGTTGAGTCCCTCTCCTTTGTAGAGGAACTGTGCAATGTCTTCTGGCGTATTCTGGAGAAGATCGTTCTCCAGAAGAAACTGGATTCCCTGTTAAAAACATTATGCTGGTGTTACTTTCTGTAACTTTCTGTTTATAGACTCACAAACGACTGTAGGACATTTTTAAATTTAATACAAGAGGGTTATTCAAAACGTAAAGTGTAATCCAGCGGCAGTAATTTTATTCATTTATTGTTACACTGTTCAAGATGTGATCTGACCTTTTTAGGATCCATGTTGAATTTCTTCCTCCCCATAGCAATCTGCTTATTTCTTTGAGTGGTTTTGCTGTAATTATATAAGAGGGAAAAAAAGAAAACTCTTAAGACATCCATCATGTCAGTTTGGTTTGGCATTGTCTCCAGGCTACTGTGTTTTCTCAGTTTGTCGGTGTGTGATGGGTTTTCTATCAAATGAAGACTGAGAGGGTTTAAAAGTGAAGAAAGCGCGGACATGTTATACGTAAGATCATGTGGTACCGTCATTATTTTACGTCTTTATCCTGTAAAAGTGTCTTTCTCCTTGGTACGTCGGGAAAATATAATTTCCCATCTAAGTGGAACACTTATCACAGGAAGCCCTCCCAACGCACCTTATGTGACCAAAATAACCTCTTTAAGCCCCTTTACCAGCTGCACCTGAGATACACTGCTGGACAGCTTGTCTCACCCCACCTCATCAACCAATCATGTGAAAGCTTCTGAACGCAGACGGTTTGGCTAATATTTAGTTGAGGGGCTGTCCCGCTTCACTCTTCAAACAACGGATGATTAACAATAGACCATACACACACACACACACATGCACACACAAACAGCCACAGGCGTAAAATGATAGGTGAGAGGCTCACAGTAAAGGTGGCTGTATGTGGAGAAGAGACAATAGAAAGGGGAAATTGTAAGCTGATCCGTTGGTTGTTTGGAAAAATATCTAATCTAATGTTGTGTTTTGTTTTTTTTTCATTTGTAATGTTTAAAAGATACACAGGAAGTAGGTCAGTTTGAGGGGACAAACATGTCCCTGCTCTCTAAACACTGACTGATTTCCTTTGTGCTTATAGGCTTTAAGATGAAATACAAAGTGTTCACCATGAGCATAGCTTAATGTATTTTTATGCGGCCATATGATATTTGTTAGATAATGTGTTGAATATTCCTCATTATGTAAAAATTCTGTCATTCTGCAGAAATAACTATCAACAAAAAACCCATTTATCATATTAGTCACAATTTAATTAATCAATCAGTAAGTGGGAAAAAAATCAACAGCCAACACTCACCTCTCCCCCACACAGGTTAGCTGTTCAATCTCAGTCATCACTTCTGCAATCTCAAACTTCAGCCGCTGCAAACATAGGACTTATTTCTTAATTGTGCTTCATCCATTTAAAAATAACATGTTAAATGATTGATAACTGAAGAGAGAAAAATGCTTAATGTGAAAGAATATTTTATATTGCTATGTCAGTTTTGCACGGTAAAAATCCAAAACATCCATATTATCACTGTCAGAATCTATATTGAAATAGGTGCCTTTGCCGTGATTAAAGGCAATTGAAATGCCTGTTAAGAGTCCTTCTTAGATACCCTACACCATCATCCAAAAATGATCACATCAACTTTTAGTGCAATGTAACATCATTCCGCATGACTACTTTATTATTTACTTGTGGCACCAACAAACCACTAAAACCTGCTGAGAGTCAGTTATTTAGATCAAATTTCATCCCATCTCTCAGATCTCGCTTGCGAACAAATAGAAGCAATGTCTTTTTTACTCACTTCGATATCATCCAGAAGCTCTTTTTTCCTGCGTCGTATGTTCGACAGCTCATCTCTTTCCTCCAAAGACAGGTCCTCGGGCACTGGAAGATACAGAGAGTGGAGAAAATTAAAGAGCAGATGGGGGAGAGCGAGAGGCTGGGTTATGAGGATGGATTAAATTAATTCACCCTCCGTCCAAACAGTCACTGGATTCATGGGGATTAAGCTCGACAGTGCATACCTGTTCAATGGATCCATCCTAAAGACACTACATATGACCTAAAGTAATGTGCTAACAGACAGAGGTGTGTTTTCATTTTAAAACCCGGAATTAAATAGAGCAAAGGGTATGAGAAGCAAAATGCCTCAGAGCTTAAAGTTAGTTTTGCTGCCTTTTATTATTGCTCATATTGTGTTAAATCCAGTAGGTGGGTGCGTTCTTGAAGGCAACACGAGTAAAGCTTTGGGCTCACATCTCTTTATCATGTAGCCTTTGCATATTCCCCCTTCAAATAATGACATTTCATGTAATTTGATCCAAATGTTGGATGGAGAATAGAACAAACATTCATTCAGTAAAAGTTGCATTTGAGACGTCACATCCATTTGTTTAGAAACACCTTCTTTTTTTTCAAATGTTCCTGTTTTTGAGTAGCTATAATTGATAATGTCCGTTTACACTGATTACAGCAGATAGCTTTTATTACGTGTCTCAGCTTTCTTTGCACTTGCAGAGTTCTAACAGACGAATCCTAGAAACACACCACACAAACACAAAGCACACAAAAAACAAGATATTGTTCATTTTTGGCTTGAACTTTTTAATCTACAAAAGGCCAATAATAAACATGATGTTGTTGAATATCTGACGAGGTTTCTGAACTTTTCTTTCTTGGTGCTCTGACAATTATGCCACACACTGCCCATAAATCAGAAAATGGGTACAGTTTGGTTTAGTCATATAGTTTAGTTACTGATTAGTTAAAAGTCTCCATCCTCTTCATTGTTGAAGTACTATGTCCTTACATTCTAAAGCAGCTGTTAAACATGAGAAGTGTTTCTCATGAGAACTTTCTTTAAAAGCGCACAAACGTCCCTGTTGAAAAGCAGATGACTTCCATAAATAACGTCCAGCGTGTTTGACCAACACAAACACACCCATTACTGAACATCTGGTGAGGTATGAACCCTCAAATATTGGTTTTCTGATAGTCAACCCTGTTTTAAATTAAAAGTGCATAAACAGAGAGCTGCACGTCATACGACACGCATGTCTTTATCATCTTCTCACAGACTGTGCACACACGTGTGTATACTGCACAAGCTATGTCATGCATAGGAAAATTCAACATATCCAACTAACTATATTTAATGCAGAAAGTCCCGAAGGCCACCTACTTATTTCTCATTTAACCATGCCATGTCAACCTCTCCCCCCACAGACCCCTCAGAGTACCCCCACCCATCACCCACCTACCTCCCCCCAACACACACATCAGAAACAGCAATCCGTTTGAGACAGGAAGTAGGTCATTTTTGCATGGAGCTGTACCAGATTGTGCTTCCTCTACACTGTCTCTCAGTCTAGCGCACATGCATACACTTCCCCTCCATCACGCTCTTTGTCCGCCTCCACTCCACGGTGCTAGAAGTGGGGGTGAGCATAGATTCAAATCCCACATCTGAATCATACCACTAAGCAGCTTTGCAATTCAGGCACAACCCCCCCATGACAGCGAATAATGGTGGAAAAAAGGGGGAAGTTATTTCTTCTCCTCTGTATCTCTCTACTGTATCTTTTTTCACACTGTCTGAATCAATCCCCCTTCTCAGTCTTGCTCTGAAAGACAAAGTGACAGAAGTAGCATGGGCTATTAGGTTATTATGTTCTGAGGGCATGGAGCTCTCGTTATCACAGACAAGCAGTCGCTCATGAGAGCAGAAATCCAGATGGGTCTTCAGATACAGTAGTCTTCCTCACGCACTCTGATGCTCCAAGCACTACCAGCTTTTACCAGACTTTACCAAACGAGGAAAAACAGTAAAGAATAACTGAGAGTAGCCTTTTTTTAAAACATATATACATTCTTTAAAGAAAATGAAACTTTTATGGGCATTGTCTGCCCAAGAAATATGAAGTGGGTCAAGTGCTAACGCTGTATAAATACCATATCTAACAGGCAACGCAAGACGGAAGGATGACTCATTTTTTATTTGTCGAGTTGTTAAGTACGTTTTTTTTTATTTGATCTTTTTTATAGGTTTTAACTGCAAATCCTGACAGGCTTCATGGGTGTCCCATTTTCATTACACATTTTACTGAGAAAAGAATCACTGCTGTTAATACAGCCGCTATTATAATGTTACATATTGACTTTTAAGTAGGTTTTTCCTGACTTGTCATTTGATATTTTCTTGGTTGATGGCGTAGCCACGGTAATATAAAGCACTGCATACACCCAGGCTCCAAATACCTGATGTCACAAAACAATGTACAAATCAACTTGGTAAATGCTGATGGGAGAACAAAGAAGATAAAAGAGAGGAAAATTGGCTCTTTTTTTATTTTTTTACATACAGGTATTTCTAGATTTTAAAAAAAGCAATAAAACTATTTTGAAGCCATCTCGCATGTGAAGTGCTCTGAAAAATTAACACTAAATTTTCATGTCCATGAAATCTGGGTGAGATCCATCTGTGGGGGAGGATCCTCTACCTTGTGAAGCAGCAGTATACTCACTGGATTTGTGAGCTCCATAACATGAAAGAATCCATCTCTTTCAAGTTTGTGAACAAGGCAGTGTAATTAGGATTGACTAGATTTTACTTGGAGCTATGAGCTGTGAGGAATGATGGAGGTCAATAGCAGTGGCTCCTTCAGATATTAGCGCAGATGACGAAAGCATCCGTTTTACCTAAACTGGATAGTATGTTCCATTTTAAGAAGGCAACAGAATAACACTTTTCTCAACTGCATTTTCTCTCATCTTCCATCTGGCTTTGAAATAACTTCATTACTGTGGTTGGGGGAGTGGATTCTCGCTTATCCGGGTCAATGACATATGATGTGATTAAAAGAAGGCAACTGCAGTTTTTTTCTTTGTGTTGAGGGAAGTTTTACATATCATGTTGGTAATGTATCTAATTGGAGATGTTCACCTTATACTCTACTGTTCTTTAGACTAGTGAGTAAAACTGTTTAAACTTTGTTGATGTGAGGTTAATATCTAGGAGAATAAAAGAAAGGTCCTGTTGGCTCCGATTCACTTAGGCTTTCTCCCAGTGGACTTCAGTTTATAGACAAGTTAAAGAATCCAACTATCAAAAACTACAACAGCCACCAAAGAAGAGCTTTTTTGTCAACTCCTGGCAAAGGTCAGAGAGAGTACAGAAGATCTGAGAAAAGAAAGAAAAGTCCTGAAAAAGATGTGTCTGCCTTTGAAAGACACAAAAAGGGTGTTAAAAAATGGTAAAGAAAAGGATAGATTCAAGATTGATGTAGGAATAGAAGCCAGCCCTCAGGACATCTTCACACTTTCTGCCTGGTGCTCTAGCTTTTTTGTCTTTAGTCAAGTTGCCCCATAATGCCGTAACTATGGACTGAAGAGACCCTGCAGGGCAGTTTACGTCTGCAGTGCACAAAGCACTCCTTTATTCCTCCCACTCTGGCTGGAAGAGCTCAGCTGGACCGGAGAATGGGACAAATTGTCTGAAGGAGCAAAGTTTGTCTCGGTTAACAGGCCCCTGCTGTGTGTGTTTTGAAGCAAGAGCAGAAGTAACCTGATATAAGGACAGCTTCTAATATCTAGGTTGCACTGACATCAGATGCATTATTCATGAAGATCTAGGAATCTGTGAGTGTGTCTAAGTGCTGATGTGTGTGCATTTTCATAGGGAGCAGACCCTCTGATAAGAAATCCATATTAGATTTTATAAAAACATTCCGGCTTAACCCAGGGCACAGGAACATATATTACCACTCCACACCCTGATATTATGACATAGGAATCTGTTTTTCCAGTTATAATCAGTGCATTATGTTAATAGCTCAAAGTTGCAAGTTTTACGTTTTCTTACCCCTTTGGTGACCCTGAGTAGCTCCCAGAGAGCCGAAGTTTTTCATTAAATGACACGTGGTACAATCTATTTGCAAGAAAAAGCTTATCGACTTTTCTAAGTGTCCTTATTTCAATCTAAAAATCTGTATTAGCTCTTTACCCCTGAGGACCTGTAACAACATGGGTCACCAGCATCTGCATGGGTCAGGGAAACAGTAAGGTCAGAAGGGGAATCCAGCAAAAATCAATTTGCTGTTATCACGGCACGGGTTGCCGGCCAGTGACGGTGGTGAAGTGGTTAGCATCGCCTCACAGCAGGAGGGTTCTGGGTTCAAGTCCCCCGGGAGGGACCAGGTCAGGACTTTTCTGTGTGGAGTTTGCATTTTCTGCTTGTCATCGTGGGTTCTCTCCGGGTTCTCCGTCCTCCTCCCACCGACCAAAAACCTACATGTTCAGTTAACTGAGTGAGTGTGTGGGTTTTTTTTGTCCTTGTGTGTCTCTGTGTGGCCCTGCGATGGACTGGGGGACCGTCCAAGGTGTACCCTGCCTCTCGCCCATTGACTATTGGGATAGGCTCCAGTCCCCCCGAAACCCATTTTGGGAATAAGCGGTTCAGAAAATGGATGGATGGATGTAACTGAATCATTTGCATGTTGTCAGAACTATGCCTGTTACAGTGGATCAAATGTAATAATTCCTATAGTTTTTTATCCATTAATCCCACTGATGAACCAAAGATTGTGCACACACATTAGCACTGATGAAAGAAATTATCATTATTGGCCACACTGCTAACAAACACATGGTTTTCTGTTTTACACACTTACCGCACCAGTTTCAGTAGTTTTAGCAAAACACAATATATAATGTAAAAATTAAAACGTTAAAATGGATGTTCAGAATCGACCCTTATGATATTGCCGTTCTCGGCAGAGGCCACAATTAGTGACGAAAGAGGTCTTGTGACTCCGGTTTAAGTGGAACCCATTATGATTTGTGCTGCTCTAGATTTCCTTAGAGATCTTAAAAGGGAAGGCCGAGAT